TTAGGTATTTATTCCACAAGAACACAAACCCTCGAGAGTCTAGGCATCTGAGTAGAATTTTTTTTGCCTCATGTTTATAGTTGAAGAAAAGACAAAGCTATTTTTCGTCAATAGGTGGATGGCTGAATAAATCATGGAATATTCACACTATGGAATATTATGTACTGTCACAAATGATTTGAAACTTATATTAGTTTATTTGGGGGGATTTCCTTGAAGTACTATTGAATAAAAAAAGCAAAATGCAAGAGAGTATATAGAATATGATCCCAGTTTTATAAAATAACACTTAAAATCTCTAATACATGCATATGTATGTTTGCATACAATTTAAATGTGTCTGTCGGTGATTCTCCGTTATGGAGAAAACATACAGGAGGTTGGATACAATGGGTTACCTGGGGTCAAAGGGGACGGTGGCACAAGCTGACATAAGCAGTGTGGAAAGAAAGGAGGGAGACATTTTTGGCTCATCCTCCGCCAAAAAAATTAAAAAGCAGAGGCCTTTGGAGTTGGACTCCCTCACCCTGCAGCTAGCTGGGCCCCCGCCTCCAAAATACTTCACTCCCTTGGCCATTCCTCCCACCACCCTATACATGGCCTTCCATGTTTTTTCCATGATACTTGAATGAGGCAGTCAAATCACCAAGGGGCAGGGAGGGCCGAGGGGCCAGGGCTGCTTTCAGTGCATGAGAGAGGACCTCAGGGTCCAGAGTTCAGGCCCCACTCTCCCCAAGAGTGGGATTTGCCAAGGCAGCTAGGCAAATTCACGAGTGAGGGGAAGAGGCCTCAGGGAGCGTTAATTCACTTGTTCTCTCAGCTGAAGTCCTCCTTCCGTCTCACTGACAGGCCACGTCCTCAGAGAGGATTCTTCTGAGTCCCACCCCTCAGTGATCTCGCCCTTCACTCCCTTTCCTAGCACTCATCACAATTTGCCGTGGTTTTTGTATGTGTGTTTAATGTCTATTTCCTCTATAAGCACCACAAGGGGAAATACACTTGCAGCGCCCAGTATGAAGTGTGGCTCCGGAAACACTGGCTGCTTTCAGTCATTGGCTTCCTCTCTCCTCCATTGACTCACTCTTTTATGCATTTCTTTATTCATTTTTTCCCTTATTCTCTCCAGAAACATGCTACTGGTTTATACCTTTTCCTGATCTGAATCTTCCGCTTTCTAGGGTACTTTTTCGGAGAAGGTGGGAGTGGGGACATGATGGCAGAAGCCTGGGAATGCATCCACAACTTGGAAGGGCCTAGCTGGGTGAGTTGGAAGCTCTCCAGGGAAGGAGGGAAGATTCTAGAAGGCCAGAAGTCTCAAGCAGAAGGTCCCAAAGGAGGAGAGAGGTGAAAGTGATGTGGTGGAGGCTGGGCCAGGCAGACCCCTCGACTCCCAGGCATGCCCTGGCTCTTCCTGCTGCCAGGCCTTGGCTCTTGCCATTTGTTCTGCCTGGAAAGCCTCTTCCCATCTCCACGTGTTGAAAGCCTATCCTTCCTTGCAGAGCCAGCCCAGATGTCCTCGAAGTCTTTCCTCACTCCACCAGCTGGAAGGGCTGCTCCCTGCTGCAAACAAATTTCCCGAGCAGAAAATCTGGACCTCCCTCGAGGCACTGACCACTTCCTGGATTGTGCTGTGGTGTGGCCCCTCTCTCCAGCCCATAGGCAAAGGCTCTATCCAACTGTTCCCTGTATCCCGCAGGGCTAGGGCCCAGCACAGAGCAGATGCCCGAGACACTCTGGCTGGACGAATGAGCAGTGCTGAGTTTGGGGTGGGGCAATGATTATAACCCCATTTTACAGATGCCGAAATAGAGGTACAGATAAGTGGCAGACTTGGCCTTGGTCCCACAGTAAACAAGTAGCAGAACCTAGACTCAGGCTGGTCCCAGAGGCGATGGTCTTTCTAGGGCAGCTTGGTGGGAGGTGAGGTAGGGTGGGGTAGGGTAAGACCCGGGTCCTGGGAGCCAGCAAGCCAGGAAGAGCTGGAGTTGGGACGGCCAAGTTCAGGGAAAGCGCAGCTGGGGAGGAGCCAAGGTATTTATTATGCTTGGTCTCCAGTTCCAAACAGAGCTGATGGATGGAGCTACTCCAGTTCCTATAAACAGCTCTGGCCTCCCTCCCCCCACCCTCTCCATTCTCAGCCACCACAGCCCAAGTGTTTCCAGTGCGATAGGGGTAGGGGTGGGGGTGGGGGGGATGACCAAGAAGAGAGGAATGGGAGTGAGGGGGGTGAGCAAAGGAAGGGGGAAGACAAAGATTAGATGGGGTCCTAGAGGCCCCAGGAAGCTGCAGGGAACGGAGGGAGGTCAGAGAGGATTCTTGGCCTTCCCACCGGCCCCCGCTGCCGTGGGCGGCCCGCAGTCTGCATTCCCCTGTCCTCTCTGTGTCCCCTGGGTCTGCTCAAAAAGCCTCCTCACCACATTCTCTGAGAGCTTGTCTCAACTCCACAAGCTTCTGAGTCCTGGAGGGCAGGGGGCATTCACTCAGGAAGGCTTTTCTGAGCTGGCTTCAGTCTGTGTTGGCTCACAGGCCCTGGGGACAGAGAGGACTCTGGGTAGGACCTCCCACCAGGAGCTCCTGGCCAGGTCAGGCAGACACTGCTGAGGGCAGCCCAGGGCTGTGGGCAGCTGGAGGAGGGAAATCCAGACAGTCTCCCCAGAGGAGGTGATGGCGGTGATGGCACTGAGGGTGGTGGAAGGAGATTGTGCAGGTGGGGCGGGGGGCTGAGCTGGTTCTGGCAGAGGAGGCCGGAGAGGTGCAGGAGGCAGTGCTGCCTAATGGTTAAGACTGCCGGCTCCAGAGTGGGACAGCCTGGGTTCAAGTCTCATCGCTGGAGCTCAGTTCTTTAAAATGAGAATGGTAACAGTAGAAACCTCTTCAAGATTGTCAGAATGAAACACGACAATGCACATCCAGCGTTCAGCATGGGCTCACCCGGACGTGCTTGACAATGGCCATCTCTGAGCATGCGGTGAGAGGTGGCGGGAGAAAGATGGGCCTCATGGGCCCTAGAGCTGCCTGAAGGACAGGGGCACAGAACACAGACGGCAGGTCCCAGATCCTGGAGGGTGTGGCCAGCCTGTGGGTCTGAGAGAGTGAGTTGCTGTCGCATCCTGGACCCTGTTACTGGTGGAGTGGCACGCCAGCACAGGGAACCCCAGGAGCTGGGTCCTGAACCTCAGGCTGACTGTAGCCTGGAGGTGGCAGGTCCTTCTCTGTCCCTGCAACTTGCTGAGAGCTCGGACAGCTGGATGCTCTGATGACCTAGTTGGCAGCCGTGTCCACGTTTGGTTGAAAACAGGAATTTCTGCCTCACTGGGGGTCTTGGCCAGGTGAGCAAACTCCCCTGTTTGTCAGGAAAAGGGGTTGGGGCCTGGTGGGCTCTCTGCTGGAATGGAGGCCTGCAGACCCTGGGCTCAGCTCAGTCGGAGCTCCTGCCTTCCCCTTAGGCCTTCACGGAGCACATACTGTGTGCCAGGGTGCTCTCCTCCAGTGTGTGTGGGGCTCTCTCCTCTCTCCCCCACCCCTACCCCATGAAATAGGCATTTAGAATTTCCCTTTGCAGACAGGGAGCCAGGAGCAGGAACGGGGAGGTGAGAGGGCATGGACCAGAGAAATGGAAGAATCCCTAGGAGGCAGAGCTGCCAATGCTGGGCCCAGGGGCTGCCGGGCCAAGGGGAGGGGTCCAGAGTGCCTGCTGGTGGGAAGGAGAAGCATCACAGAGCAGGAGCTTGGGGGAGAGGCGGGAAGGGAAGGGGAGGGGAGGGAAGAAGGGTGACAAGGTGGCAGTGCCAGGCTGCTGAGAGGTGAAGTAGGCCACTAGGGGACAAGCTTATGAACACTGGAGGAAGATGTGGGACAACCACTCCTGCTCTGTGTGCTCTGCCCTGGCCTGTCACGCCTCTCAGTGCTCCTGTGCCCAGGTGAGCTGCTTCTGTCCCATACCCCACACTCACCCTCCAACTCCCAGCCAGGAACCAGGTATGGTTTTCTACCAAGTTCAACCTTGATCTGCAGCCCAGCTGATCATTGAATTCTCCAGGCCCTGGAGACCTTTAGCCTTCTACCTGGGGAGGTCTCTGGGAACCAGAGTTGGACTTTCGAGAGGAGTGGGGCTGGAGACAGGGATGTAAGCCATCAGAGAGCAAGGGGTGTTTCCAGCAATGAGGCCATGGGTTCCCACGGGAAAAGGGCCTCGGATGGAGCCCTGGCCATCACCATTTAGAGCTGGCTTGAGGAAGATGAGCAAAGAAGCAAAGAAGACCCTGAAAAGCAGTGGCCTGGGAGGGAGGGGACAGCTTCCTGTGTGGAACCACAGCTGTGGGGAGAGCAGGGGCATGGGTGGGGAGCCCACTGCACAGGGCCCAGGGAGAGAAGGTCAAAAAAGTGTGCTGAGTTTGGCAAAGGATACCCTTGGCGTCGTTAGCAAAGGCAGCATGGGGCTGGGAGGGGCTGAAGGCAGCTCCAGGCGGGTTGAGAGCGGGAGGAGTGGGAAGGGAAGCAACTTTACCAAGAAGCTGGCCTGTGACAAGCAGGAGGAGGGGAAAGTGGCTGAGGGGCTTCTCACTATTAAGACGGGCAAGTCTTGAGTCCAGCTGAAGTCTCAGAGGAAGATGTGAATAGAGACGGAGAGGCTGGAGGCAGAAGAGAGCATGATGGGGCTGGGGACCCCCGAGGAGGAGGGGCAGCACCGCCTCTGAGATGGGGCACAGAGGGCTGAGCACAGAGAAGGGGAGGGGCCTGTAGCTGTAGCAGGAAGGAAACAAGCGGAAGCCCCCAGCCTCTCAGCCTTGGGGAGCAGGGTCGCCTGTTGAGTGTGGGGTGACAGGTGTAGCAGGGGCTGTGCTAGTAGCTGAGGCTCCAAGGTCCACAGTGGTGCTGACCCGGAGCCTCCGTGTCCCCAGGGATTTGCCATGAGGATTGAAGAACCATATGGGAGTTGAGGGGCAGGGTTCAAGTGAATGCAACGAATCAGATAGCAAAGAGGAGGCTGGCAACCGCACTGCTTCTCCAAAATATGCTTTTAATACATTCAGGTAGGTTATACAAAGAGCTGGGCCCTAGGCCTGGGCTGTGGCCTGGGTCCTGGGAATTGACAGCAGCATTGTGTAGTGTTTTCAAAGATCAGGCGTGGGAACCCATACCTTGGCCTCCAGGCCTAAGGAAGAGCGTTATGTGCAGTAGCACCTGTGGTCCTGATCCCAGCCAGGACTGGGTCTGCCTGGCTGCTCCATGCATCACCGGGGCCTAGCCCTGGCTCTCTGCCCATTGACTCTCCCTTAACTCCTCCGGGCCTTGGTGTTCTTATCTGCAAAATGGGATGGAGACGTGGCGTTTTCATTTTATCACACATTACTGAGTTCACATCATGAGCCAGACTGTGGGCCAAGCACAGGTAAGCTGATGAAGACAGTCACACAGGGTCTTGGGTTGGTCCCAGGGCTTCCATTCTTCCCAGACAGTTCATGACTCCATGGTATGAGGGACAGGGGTCATCTGGGTGAGCAATTCTACCTGCTTTTTTAGAGGGAAAAAAAAATCCTTGCAAGATGACATACAGAAAGGAAGTTTGGAGCCAGCATTATCTTGTGATGTGACAGCCAAGAGAGGACATCACTCTGGTCCAACCCCCATCTCATCCCACCAAATAAGGTCTGACTCTTCTGACATTGACTTGTACAGCTCTCTGTTTCATTCTCTTTCTGAACCTCAGTTTCCCCATCTATGCAATGGGCCGGGGCTGGATTCAATAGTCTCAAACTCCAGGCTCTGCTCAATAGAGGAAAAGGGAGTGAGAGAATGCAAGAGCAAGGAGAGAACAGGCGAACCCATACCAGGGTGCAAATGAGGGGAGGAGGGAAATAAGGAGGAGGAGAGAGCCTGCGGCTGCCTGCCTGGGAGAGAGGAGAGAGCAGATGTGCATGGCACAAGATGCTTCCAGACCCTGCTTGGGCTATGTGGGACCACTTCCTGTCCTCTTAATGGCCTGCAGCCCTTGCAGTGGCAAAGATCCAGGCCCTGGAGACAGAAGGATGAGGGTTTGAATCTCACCTATGGCATTAGTTAGCTGGGGCCCTGAAGGGAGATTTGCAGAACTTCAGTTTCCTCTTTTATAAAATAGGCATAAAATACCAACCTCTAGGGGCTGTCATATAGGGGCAGACACAAGGCTCGATTCACATCCACATCTGCCAAGCTGGTGCAAAACAGAACCAGACATCTAAGATTCTAGCTCCTGGCGCAGCAGCCAAGGTGGGGCTGGGATGGAGAAGCGGGGCTGGGCAGGGAGGGGCTTAGAGCAGTACTAGGGTCAGGGTGTGCAACATGAGAGTGCCAGGTAGAGAGAGGGCCTGTCCAGGGCAGGAGACAGAATGGCCCAGCGCTGGGCTGGACCCCTTAACCAGACCCTGCTGGAGCCGCCACAGCCCACCTAACAGCACCAGATCCAAGACACACTCGGACGGCTCCAGTTCTCTCTTTCGGTCATAAGCGCTTCATTTTCAGAGCGGCTGAAAGTCATTATCGGATGTGACAAACAGTCTGCTTTGAAATGTCTCAGACAAATCCTCCCAGGCTTGGCCCTCCCTGGCCCTGGCACTGCCGGAGCCGGACTCTGGCCTGAACCAGCAGGGCCTGCCGAGCTCCAGACCCCTGGGCTTTCACTCCTCAGGCCCTGAGCCCTGAGCACACTGCGTGGTCACTGTGTGGCTCTGCAGCAACCCCTCCTACCAGACTGGGAGATTCTCGAGGGCAGGAATATATCTCATTTCCCAGCATTCCCAGTGCCCAGAGCAGGGTGTGGCACAAAATAGATGCTCATTGAAGATTTGTTGATCTGATGGGTCAACATTATTCTCTGCTGTCCCTGAAACCGCCCAACCTCTGGCTTCCACAGCTGGACCCAAAGTGCAGCCCGGGAAGGGAGTCACCTGCTGATGCAGCAGGTGGCAGAGAAAGAAGTACTGGGCTGCGATTTGGGGACCAGCATTCTGGGACCCTGGGTCACTGTGTGACCTTGAGTCAGGCCTCACTCTTCTCTGTACCTCAGGCTCCTGCACTGACCTAGAGTGTCTCCCGGCTTCTTTAGGCTTTATATTGTTGATTAAACTTCTGTCGGCGGAGGCAGCAACAGGTGGCCAGCGTGGTGAGGAGGATGGCAGAGACCAGTATGAAGGTGAGGATGATAATGAGGTTGATGTTCTTGAGCCCCCCCTTCTCACAGTCCTCGGGACGCACGTGGCTCAGAGACACCTCCTCCTGAGAGCTGAAGCGGCAGATCAGGTCCTGGGTGGCGTCCACGTCCACTCGGCCCTGGTGCAGCTGGGCTGCCAGCCAGCCATTGCCGCAGCAGCTGAGTGGATTCCCCTGCAGGTAGAGGCGCCGGAGGCTGGTCTCCAGGCCACCCATGGCACTGCCTGGCAGGAGGCTGAAGCTGTTGTTCCGCAGGTCCAACACCTCCAGTGACACGGCCTGTGTCCAGGCGGGAAGGTGGCTCAGGCGGTTCTCGGCAAGATTGAGCTGCTTGAGGCAGCTGAAGTAGGGCAGGTCCACCTGCAGGACCGCCAGCCCATTGCCCTGCAGTGCCAGGACCTCCAAGGAGACCTCCAGACCTGCCAAGGCCCCCCTGGCCACCACTAGCCCAGGGTTGGAAGAGAGGTCCAGCTCAGTCAGTGGGGTTCGGAGGAAGGCCCCTGCCCTGAGCATCTCTATCTCATTATCCACCAGGCTCAGGCTGCGGAGGGAGGAGATGCCGGAGAAGGCCACACAGCTGGAGGGGCCAGGCTCATCCGGACCCCCACAGGGGCTGACCCGGTTCCCCTGCAGGTTGAGATGCTGCAGGCTGGCCAGGTTGGCAAAGGTGTATGGGGGCAGGTCCCGCAGGGCATTGCCCTGAAGGAGCAGCGTCCGCAGGGACCCCAGGGCTCTGGTGCCCAGTTCCAGTGCCTCCAGGGCATTGTGGCTTAAGTCCAGGAGCATCAGGCAGGGCAGGGAGCCTGAGCGCCGGGCCTCAAAAGCCCGCAAACAGTTTCGGCTGAGGTTCAGGAAGCACAGGGAGGTCAGGTGCTCAAGAAAGCTGTCGGGGATGAGCTCAATCTCATTGTAGCTCAAATCCAGATTCGAGAGCTGGGAAAGGGGGTGGGCGCTGGCGTTCCCCCTGGGGTTTGAGAGGCGCAGGGCTGACCAGCCCTCGGAAGGTGCGTGGATGGCCTTGCTGTGCTGGGGTGGCCCTGTGGGGAGCCGGATGAGGTTATTGGACATGTTCAGGTAGATGAGTCTCGGGAACACGGCCAGGTCAGGAAAATGGAGCAGTTTGTTCTCCCGCAGGTCAAGCCAGGTGAGCTGGAACTCGGCCTGGGGCTTGGGGGCCGTCTGAAAGGTCTCGATGCTGTTGCAGCTCAGGTCCAGCACCCGCAGCTGCTGGAGGCTGAAGTCAGAGATGCAGGTGAGGGAATTCCTGGAGAGGTTGAGATGGATCAAGCGGGGCAGGGCTTCGAAGGCGCCGTCCTCGATGTCCATCAGCACGTTGCTATGTAGGTCAAGCCGCTCTAGCGCAGGCATGCCCCGGAAGGTGTGGTGGGTGAGGCGAGTCAGACTGTTCTCCGCCAGTGAGAGGGTATGCAGGCGGGGCGCCTCCTCCAGCAGCTGCTCCAGCAGGCCGCTGTACAGGCTGTTCCCAGACAGGTCCAGGGAGGTCACGTGTGGCAGGGGGCCCAGGCCGCCAGTACTCAGTACAGTGCCCACTGCCAGCCGGTTGTGGGCCAGGCTGAGGTGCTGCAGGTAGGGCAGGGCCTGGAAGGCTCCTGGCTGGAGGGAACTGATCTCGTTGCTGCTCAGGTCGAGGTGACGAAGTGCCGTGTAGAGGCTCAGGGGAGAGACCAGGATACTCTGCAGCTGGTTCCCAGATAGATCGAGGGTCTCGGTGTCCAGTGGGAGCCCCAAGGGGACCTGAAGCAGGCCCAGGCCCTGGCATGAGACCTTCTTGTCTACCTGGGGAGGGGCAGGGTGGGGAGACAGCTGGCATGAGTGGGCGTGGCAGGGGATGAAACCAGACATGCTTACCCAGGAAGGACTATGAGACCCCTGCCCAGATGGGGAACCCTTCTCCCGTGGACTCCCAGAATGCTCAACTTTTCCTCATCACAGCTTGATCACCCCATGTCTGGATGACCTGTCTGGCTCCTGATTCATCTTGGGCACCCAGCACAGTGCTGGGCATTAGGAAGGAACTCAATGAGGGTTCCATGGGAGGATAGATGGAGAGATGATAACAGATAGAAGGATAAACGAACCAACAAAGAGAAACCCTGTACTCATTATTACCGCTCTTACAGGAAACAGCTGTATATCCGACAGAGTGGCCCCGAGCCAGTGAGCAGCAAGGCAGAGCTGGGACCCAGGGCTCCTGGTTCCACATTCTGGGTCCCTTCTAGGGCACAGATAGTTAAATTTCCAGCAGTAGATGGGAATTTCTTTACTTTGGGAGAAATGTTTCCAAAAGTAAAACTGTAATTTGTGCTCTGTCACCAGTTTTTGTTTCGGTCTCTGCCTCAGACCTCATTCACGCTCTCGTGTTGTGGGCACAGCCTGGGTTCCGGGGCCTGCCTTCCTTGTGGATGCTTCCCAGATGTGGCCTCCTCTCTGCTGCTGTTACCTGCCCCCTATAGGGGGTGGCTTTCTTCCCAGGCTGGGTCAGGGGATTGGGACTCTGGAGGTGGCAAGGGGCAGGGAAAAGATGGCCAGGGCCAAATTCACAGTCTTTGGTGACAAGATGGTGCTTGTGTTGTGTGACTTCCAGGAAGTCCCATAACCACTCTGCTTTCTTATGTCCTTCCCCAGCAGCCACTCAGCATTTGACATCTTAGTTAATACTTGCAGTCCTGTGGCCCCATTGGTTTCTACCATAGCCTGCCCATCTGATATGATCACCTCTATTTACAGAAATCTAGGCTCAGGGAGGGGAAGGGATCGCCCAGCTGGTGAGGAACAGTGCTGGGATCTGAATCCAGGTTTTTAGCAACCAAAGGCCCCACTCTTGTTCTTCCACAGATGTGCCTTCTGGGCCCAAAATTCCTTCTGTGCAAAGGCAGGTCTCCCTTTTCTCTTCAGGCCTCCAGGAACCCTAGCCTTTCCCAGAAAAGGGTCTGACTTCCACAATCACTGGGCTCAGGCTCGCCACCCACAGCTTCTGTCTCCGCTGACCGGTTCTGACCCATTCACTGCTAAATGCCTGACAGCTGCTCAAAAGTTCCACTCTGACTGTGTGGTATCTTGGCTTAAATCCCTCCAGGGTGAAGTCTGGGACCCTCAGCAGGGCGTTCGAGGCTGCTTGTAGCCCCTGCCAACCTGTCCCCCACCTCCCACCCCAGCCCACATGCAGTGACCACAGCTGTCCACTGCCCATCATGCCTTCCCACACCCACTGCTGGGTCTCCTCCCTGCACTGGATGCACCTTCCATCCCCAACCAGATCCACACGTGAACTCTTCACACAGCTTCAGGGCCTCCTCCACCAGGGACCCATCCATGACTGTGCTTCCTCTCAGAGCTCTAACCCGCTGAACTGTGGCTGTGTGTGTGGGGACCTGCTAGACAGCGAGCTCAGAACAAACAGGGACTGGTTTGGTGAATGTGGGTGCCTTGGACCTGACTCGCAGATCATTTTTTTCCTAATGAAGGAGTTCCAGACATCATTGGTTTAGTAAAGGTCTGAGGTACTAAATCAACCACTTCTCTGGGAGGAAAGAAAACAAGATGATTGATATTTTAAGAATACAGTCAAAGACGGCTAGAGCAAGAAGAGTTCAGTTCACCCACTTCCCAGAAGGGGACACTGAGGCCTGAAGATGGCAGTGACTTGCAGGAAGTCACTGTGAGTCAGTGGCTGAGCTGGTAGGGAAGGAACACAGGCCTGCCTGTTCCTCTCCTGGTCCAGCTCTGTGCTTCCACCTGAGAGCCCCAAGATGAGTAGGGTCTGCTCGTAGGCAGGGCTGCACTGGGAGGCCCAGCTCTCCAGTTCAGTCCAGGAAGGGCTTTAAGGCCAGGGCGGTGCTCAGAGCTGCACTTCCGGGGTCCCCATGCCTCCTTCAGCTCTGAGCTCCCAGCATTGCCTGACTTACAGTGGGAGGGAATTGGAGGAATTGGCCCTTTGCCAGAGTTTAGCACTCCCACCCACTGTCCTGGGCTATCAGGATGCCACTGCCCAGATTCCTTTTGAGAAGCAAAGACTTGCCATCCAACTCCATTTCACCATCTCATCATGGAGGAACACAAGGTAAGGAGAGACACCAGGCAGTCAAGGAGAGCTGGGTTCGTAGGTCCCTGGTAGGTCGCATGTCTTCTTAGCTCCTGTGTGTATTCTCCCCATGCTGGTTCAGAAAGCGCTTTCCTATCTATTATCTCATTTCCCCAGACTCCAAAACTCACCCGCTTCCCCTCTGCCTGTTGGGTGGTCAAGGCCTTCCCCTCCAGGCCTCATCTCCCTGAGGTAGAATGTGTGTTTGTATTTGGTGATGCCTGAGGCCTTCTCTGCCCGTAATTCTGGGCTCCAGGAATGTCAGAAGGGCTCTGAAGAGCAAGAAGAGTGGTGGCAACAGGAGACATTTCACCCCCAGGGAAGGGCTGCGGGCAGGCAGCTGCCAGCACCTCCTGCCTCCTGAAGCAGCTGCCTGTTGAGTGTCATAAGTTTCTTCAGGTCTCAGGTCCAGGAGGGGCTTCTGGAGGGCCTGTCCTTTCCCAGCCAGGCTCTGGCCTTGACCTCAGTGACTGCCTGGCCTTACAGTGGACCTACGTGTTCTCTTTTCCCTGTATGTCATAGGATCACAAGAACTTTAGGAGGCCAGGCACGGTGGCTCACGCCTGTAATCCAAGCACTTGGAGAGGCCGAGGTGGGTGGATCATGAGGTCAAGAGTTCAAGACCAGCCTGGCCAACATAGTGAAACACTGTCTTTACTAAAAATACAAAAATTAGCCAGGTGTGGTGGCACATGCCTATAGTCCCAGCTACTTAGGAGGCTGAGGCAGGAGAATCACTTGAACCTGAGAGGTAGAGGTTGCAGTGAGCCGAGACTGTGCCACTGCACTCCAGCTTGGGTGACAGAGTGAGACTCCATCTCAAAAAAAAAAAAAAATATTTTATGGCTAGTTTTCCTGGCTTGGGGCAGGGAAAAGGAACAGAAGCAAATCAAAGTTGGTCCTTGCCGTCCTTGCCCTGAGGAAGTTCATGGTCTGGTAGGTGAGATGGGCTTGGACCCATTCACCAATCACCCCACGTGCTCAGTCTGCTCAGTGCTGAGATAGTGGAAAGCCTGGGGATCGCAGGAGCCCAGAGGAAGGGTGTGACCAGACTAGGTCAGCCTGGGAGGGGGCTGGGGAGGCTTCCTGGAGATGGCAGCATTTGACCTGCGCAATAAGGAGTGAGAGGCTTCCCAGTGGGAAGTCCCAAGTCAAGGAGCCCAGTTAGGAAGGGGATTTGTCCCCAAGGGGAATCAGCACAGAGAAGCCCCTCCCAGCTGGCCTACCCCAAATTCCCCACACATATATCATTCCAGCGGGGCCTAGTGCTCGTGGGGACAGCTTGGGGGAATACAGTCTAATCACTGTTCCCAGCTGAATGACTTGGACAAGTCACACTTCTCCAAGCCTCAGTCTCCTCCTTTGCAAAATGAGAATAATGGTGCTTACCTGGTAGGACTGTTGGGTAAACAAGGTATTTAAACATTCTAATAGGTGCTCATTAAATGCAAGGTGCATTGCCTTTTCTCTCCTGACTCTTCTAACTCCTGACTTCTGGGGCTGGGACACTAGCACACCCTAGGGCAGGGAGGTGGGGTGGCCCTCACCCTGTCTGGGTAGAGCATCTTACCATCTTACAGGGCACTTTTTCTTGGTGTTGCGCAGCCAGGCCTAGGGTCAGCAGGGCCAGAAGCAGCAGGATCTGGGGGCTCATGGCTCTGTATAGGGGGAGAGGAAAGGGGAACACTGTAAGACCCCTGGCTCCTTCCCACTGCCAGCCCCCATGCCCACCCATTCCGTGCCTGTTCTTGGGGAACCCCAGAGCATGGCTGGAGCTGGAATAAAAGTGTTTTGAGCAGGGCAGGGAGCAGGTGGGAAATGGGCCTGCAGCCCATCACAGAAGGCCTCTCACCCAGGCCAAGGAGTCGGCCCCTTACCCAGGGGAAGCAAGAGTTTAAAAAGGCATGTGACTTAGTCAGATGGGGCTTTCAAAAGACCTCACCTGGTGGAAGACAGCCTGGAGGGGATGCACAGAGGCTGACGGACCCTAAGGGTTGCTCTGGGCCATGCTCAGTGCCAGGGATTGGGGGTGTGGGGGTGGAGGGGGGCTTGGAGAGTGGGCCTCTGACTATATTTCCACCCAGGTCACAGATGTCGTCCATCCCAGCTCCTCAGTCTCTACATGGAATTCCTTGTTTTCTGCCCACCCACCCCCACCTTATATTTTGCCCTTTGATTCTCCGGCCCTTGCCATTGTTCAAGGCTGGGCCCAGGCCTTGACAGGAAGCCCCACAGGAGGCCTGTGCTGCCCCAGCACTGCTCTGCGGACTTCCCCAGGAACAGCCTGGCAGGCTCTGTACTTTCACTGAAGCCACATCCAGCCTCCTGGGCCAGCCCTTTACTCTGAGAGCAGCCAGGGGTGGGGCTAAGGGACCGCGCACAGGCCCTCAGCAGGGTCAAATCCCAGTGCTGCTGGAGGCTCCCTCACTCCCTCACTGAGGACATGAGCCAAGTGCTAGGGACATACAAATCCATCCATGAATTTCATTCATTCATTCATTCACACCTTTACTGAATGCCTCCTCAGGTCTGGCTCTGTGCTGGGAACTGGGAGCTCAAAAAAAAAAACTGAACACAAAAAAGAAGCAATGGTGATACAGACAGAGAGTCTTAAAGAGGAAGCCTTCCAAGGGGACCGGACTCAGAGTCACCCACATCTGACTGCTCCATCTTGTCTTCTTTACCTTCCTGCTGCGTGACCTTACAAGTCATTTCACCTCTCTGAGCCTCAGTTTCCTCATTTGAGGTTAATGGCAGCCACACCAGGTTTTGTTGAGAATCAAATGAGATGCCACTTACAGAACCCTCATTATGCACAAGGCCCTTTTCTTGGCCCTTTCTAGGCATGAACTCATTCCATCCTCAGAAACATTCAATGACTTGATTCCATGATCATTTTACAGATGGGAAAAGGAAGGCTCAGAGAGCTTAGGTACTATGCCTGAGGTCACGTGGTTAAAGAGCCGCTGGCCCAGGCAAGCCTGGCTCCTGGGTCTGTGCTCTTCAAATCCACACTCTCGGCTGCCTACGGTGGGTGCTCCCTGAGTACGTGCTGAACCGCTTCCCCTCTGCCTATTCCCCTCAGCATCTGAAGGATGCTGCAGGAGAAATGGCATTTACAGGGCTTTTGAGGGCAGTGTCTTTGACTGTTGGAACCCGTTAGTGATGAGCTTTGGATGAAGATGACTGGATTGAATCTTGTCCAGTTCTGTCACTGGCCAGCCCCAACTATTGTGATGATCAGGCAAAGAATGGCGGCAAAGGTGCCCTGTGTCCTCACTGTCTTTCCCAGCTGGTACAGTGACCCTCACAGGGCTGAGCATCCCAGGTGAGGCATGCTCATTGGGGAGGCCCCAAGCCTGCAGACAAGTGGCCTGGGCAAAAGGAGGCACGAGACATCTCAGGAGTCCAACTCAGAAAAGTGCCAAAGACTGTGTGTGTGTGTGTGTGTGTGTGTGTGTGTGTGTGTGAGAGAGAGAGAGAGAGAGAGAGAGAGAGGGAAAGAGAGAGAGCGAGGGTACAGGGGGTAAGATTACTATCACAATAAGCCCACCCCTACATTTAAGAATGTTAGACAGTCTTCAAAGCACTTGATCTATATCATCTCCTTTAATTCTCACAATCACCTATTGAGGCAATTACTGTAATTCCCATTTTACGGATGAGAAAACTGAGGTTCCAAAAAGTGAAGCGACTTATCCTCAGAGTTACCCAGCTCATAAGGGCTTTGGAGCAGGGATTTATCCAGGTCTACATGACCTGAATCCTGTGTTTTCTCTAGCACATGCTGAGCCAACTCCCTGCTACAGAACTGTCTTCTTTTGCCCATGACGAAAAGGAGGCTCAGAGAGGTGACTTACCCAAAGTCACACAAGGAGCAAATAGCAGAGTCAGGATCAGAATCCAGTTCATCTGCCTCCAGAGCAAATGTTTCCACGATACCAGACCAAGGTCTCCTTCCCTAAGCCCTGCTAACGACCCCTCCCACGCAGGAGCAGGGCTGACTAGCTCACAGTCTGGGCTGGGAGGTCCTTTCTCTCCCTCCTCTTGGCCTCGGCTGACTTACTGGCAGAGTGGGGTCCTGGGAGAGCTGCTGCGGACGTTCCTGTAGAGCAGTGAATCACTAAGGACAAGCCTCGTTTTGGAGACATGTGCATCCCACGGGGGAATTAGACCTTAACCCAAAGGAATGTGGCTGTGATGGCGGAATTTCAGGCAGCTCGGGGTGGGGGTGGGAGTCCCTCACATCTTACCACCCATGAAGAAGGCTGGCTTCAGAGCCCCTTGGAGAGCGGTAGGTGCCCCTCACCCCACTACAAGAGGTGGGCAGGCCATCTAGTGTTGTGGGATGGGCAGCACCACGCCTAGCCAGGATGGGAGTGTTGCAAGAAACCTGAATTCAAATTCCAGTCTGCCCTTGCCTAGCTGTGTGTTCCTGGGCAAGTCCCGGTCTTCAGGCCATTTTTTTCCCAGCTGTCAAACGGGAACTCCAGCTTCACCCCTTTGCGGGAAAGATGCGCCGAGACCGGAGCCTTGGGGGCCTCCCCGGGAGCGAGGGAGGATCTGCCACAGCTCCACGCGCGCAATGTGGGCAGCGGGAGGGGAGGTTTTGGGGGGCCGTCCCGTGAGACCAGCTCCCGGCCTGCTCTCGCAAGGGGCGCTCGACAGTGCGACCCCCGAGGGGCGGCCAGCCTCGCCCGCCCGGCGGCTCCTACCTGGCTCAGCGCGGCCGCAGCTCCTCTCCCGGGCAGCCTCCGCACATTTTGCGCAAACTCGCCCCCGGGTCCCACCCCGCGCCAGACCCCGGGGTCACGGCCCGAGGAGGCGCAGGCCGCTCGGCTGCCCCACGGGAGCCCCGCGCTCCGGCCGCAATTTAAATACCTCTCACGCGCGCCCGCCACGCCACGCCCCCCCTCTGGCGAGGCTGCGGGGTCCTAGCGCCCGGCCCGTGCCTCGGTTTATCCGGAGCCGACGGGACGGGGTGGGGCTGGGAAGCCTCTTCACCACCCTGGGACGTCGGCTGGGAAGGGGCGGGGGCCCAGGGGCAGGAGGGAGAGGGGTCGCAGAGGAAGCGCCGCGGGAGAGGCCCGTCCCGGTGGCCGCGGCACGTGCAGTTAGCCGTCCCACGGGGTCCGGAGGGGGCGCGGTGGCTCTAGCAGCCTCAGGTCCGCAGAGGAAATCCGGCCTGGCCCCGATTTCCCAGATGCTGGCGCCGCCGCACTTAACGCGGGGCAAACAGGAGAGGTGACGGCGGGGCTGAATGCGGAAGGAAATGACCCTTCGCTGGCCCTGGGGCGGCCGCGGAGGGGGTTCCCCGCAGCACGGTGGTCCGCTCTGGTGGGTCCTGGCAGGTCACTTTTCCTCCCCGGACTGTGCTCTGATGTCCAGACCCGTCCTCCTCCATCACCTGTGGGAGCCTTCAACAGCCTGTTAAACAGCACCGTCTAAGTCCTCAGTTTTCGGACAGGGAAACTGAGGCTAGGTGGAGGCAGTGTGTACACATAAAAACCAGTAGTCTGAGACTAGTAAGGTCCCTGTTTATGGTTTGGGAAACCGAGGCTCAGAAAGGTTAAATGCCATGTCCAACGTCACACAACGTATAAGAATCAGGGATTTAAGCCCAGTCTACCTATAAAGTGAAGTCTGATCCAATTTGACCATTATCTTGCCCGAATTTTTAAAGTATTGTGCAAATATGGGGTGGTGGTATTGTCCTTTAGATCAGGGGTTGAAGGAGATCTTCCCCAAAGCCACCCCTCTTCTAGATGCCTGAGCCCTACTAAATCACAGGTACCCTGCCCTGCTGCCTGTGGACTCTAGGATGCAGGTCCCTAGAGGAGAGGGGCCCTGGCTGTCCTCCAGGTCCTGGTTCCAGGGTAGAAAGTGCCTCTTCCACAGTGTTTCTCTTCCCTGATGGTTACCACCCCTCAGATTGGGGCAGGGTGCTCATTTTACAGGCATGAAAGTGCAGCCACCCAGGGCCTTGTGGCAAATCAGGGTAAGCCTGGGCTCAGAAGCGGGATTCCCTGCCTTTTCTTCCCCCTGCTCAGTCCATTGTGGAGACAGATCTAGGCAGATGGGGTCAACCCAGAGAGGACAAGCCATGAAGGGCTAACAGGGGCCCCAGGGGCCTGACCAAGCCTTAGAGGAGGAAATCAGGGAAGGCTTCCCTAAGAAGGAGGCCTGAGCTGCAATGAGGTGATGGGTAGGAGGTGCAGGTAAGGAATCTCTCAGCAGGGCTTGGGAAGGGTATCCAAACCTCTTTCCCTTTGCCCCCAGCCACCTGAGGCATGTCCATAGGGTCCTAGCTGGTCCATTCAGCCCCCTCTCTAGTCTCTAGTGCTCCATTTGGTCAGACGGAAACTCAGTGCCCCCATCTGTAAAGTGGGAAAGATAGTAGCTACTTCTTGGAGTTGGTGCTAGAACTAAGTGCAATGGATCCAGCTGGAGCCTGCACCCAGTGGTTGTTAGGCAACTTCTCAGTGCCTTTACTGTGGCAGCCTGTGGGCTTCCTTTTCCAGGTCCCTGTCCAAGGGGCCAAATGTCCAGGAAAGTGCTTTGAAGCTGCCCTGCAGTATAAGCAGAGCAACTGGATCATTTGGGCAGTTCCTGGTCTCACCTATCAGACCAGCTCCCCGCCATCCAGGCCCAGGTTGGCTGAGCACTGCCTCACCCTTCCCGGAGCTGCTACCAAGCAGAAATCACTGGGCCATGGCAAAGTTTCTGCTAGGGCCCAGGAGGGCGGAGCTGGGGCTGTGGCGGACTTGGGGTGAGTGGCCCACCTCCCACAACCCCCCCCACAAGAAGCTGTGGTTGTGGTTAGTAAGTTCATGGGGTTCCACCTTACTCAGTGCCCAGATGGGGCTCCCCAAGAGTTTGAGGCAAGATGAGCAACCAAGCGTGCCCACCTGCTACAGATGCCTCTGGGGACCAGGGGCTAAAAGCTGGGAAGCCCACAGGCTCAGCGCCCCTTCCTTCATCTCTTCCCTTCTTCGGCAGTTATGTTGTGTGACTTTTGGCAGGTTGCTCAACCTTCCTGACCTCAGTTTGCTGATCTGCAAAGTGAAACTAATAACCGTGCTTGATGTATGTGGATGGCCTATAATGACATGAGTGAAGTTCCGGGTTGGGGGTGAGGGGAAGTTTTGCTCAATAAACATGACCTCTTTTCTCTGGTGGGCCCAGGACAGCTGGTGAATAAAAATGTCCAATGCCTACCTTTGTGGAGCTCCCAGGCCAGTTGAAAGACAGATGAGAGCACAGAGGATGATTGAGTCTAGAGGCCTTGAAGGCCAAGTCCAGGAGGCAGAGTTTGGGTCTGCAGGAGGAGCGGTACGTGGAAACTGAGCAGACTCAGGCTTGCCTGGCAGCCATGTGGAGAGTCTTTTAAAGGCCGGCAAGGCCAGTTTTCCATCCAGTGTCACTTAGCTTCTGCTGGGACACCTCCAGAAATGGGGAGTCCTCCTGGGCAGCCCATCAGCAGATGGCTCAGACTTCACGGTGTTGGTATTATTGTGGAAATGCTTCCATTCCTTCATGCATTGTCAGTGAAGATATAAGAGACCCATCTCTTCCTGTGTCCTCGGGACTACCATTCTGAGATGAAAAACCCGCCCAGGCACCAAGTCAGGCTCAAACCTCCCTGGGAGGATTTCACCTCAAGCCAGATTGAAACCTGAGGGTCCTATGAAGGAGCTAGTGTCCCAGAAAGGCGATGATGTGCACATCTTGTGTGACCTTGGACAAGCTGCTAAACTTCTCTGAGCTTTGCTGTCCTGATCTAACTGTAGAACCAGAATGGAAAGGACCATGGCACCCTGGACCACCAATTTAGTCTCCACTGCTCTTTGTTGAACCCTCACTGTGGGCCAGTCCTTCATCTCATGTGGCAAATGGGAGAAAAGACAGCCATAGACAGCCTTCCAGTTAGGTGTCTTAATTCTCAGTTACTGACTAGGAAACTCAGGCTCAGAGAGGTTAAGTAACTGCCTAAAGTCACACAGCATAGCTATGGAGCCAAGAATTGAACCCAGGTCTTCTGACTCTCAGGCCAGATCTCAATGCAAAGATGTGGCTGTCCTCACTCCCTGCTTCTGCTCAGCACCCACATGAGCCCCTGAGAGTCTGGGAGTTCCCTCATGTGCCCCTTCTGGGCCCTGCCTTCTAGTGCAGAACCCTGGGTTCCCCACTTCTTCCCTGACTCCCCTCCGTTTCTCCCTAGGGCAAAAGGGCTAGGTCCCACCAGCTCTAAGCCACCTCCTGGAGGGGCAGGAGGATGTTATGAATGGCCCAGTGGTGGGGAGTAGCTGGTCTGTTGAGTTGGACTATCAAGTGCTTGCAGGACCAGGCCTGGACCAGGTACTTGACTTATCCCCTGCGCATAGCCCTCCGACGAGGGGAGGACTATCTCTGCTTGCCTTTTACAGAAGAGGGATGAAGTCTAGAGGGACCCTATGACTTGCTGGCAGTCATGCAGCGGACGCAGCAGGCACTCTCATCCCAGTCCTCAGGCTCCAAGTCCTCATTCGTGGCCAGAGACTGACTCAGCTGGCTTTCTGCACCCCCTCATGGCAGGACTTAGCGTTACCAAGGCAGGGGAAGCAGGTGCTAGTGAGGCCCCATATACCCCGCAGCCACCACACGGAAGGCTCCTGGCTCAGAGTCCCATCACTGACTACTGTGGCTGAAAGGACTAGAGGCTCCCAGAGGCCCCAAGAGAGCTGGGGGGATGGAGCAGGCAGGGCAGGATCAGAAGTGTCTCCACAGCTTGCTGCTGTGCTGAGCTGTGGAGCATGAAACCGCAGCTTTCTGCAGCACCAGGCTGCTGGGAACCTGGGGGTTTGTCCCTTTGAACCCTGCCACTTTTTCCTCCATTTCAACTTCTTGAGGGGTAAACCCGATGAACCCTTTTTTGATGATCCAGGGTTTATCACTTTGGGCTTCGGTTATGGTCCATGAGGTCACAAAGTGCCATCTCCAAGGTACCCAAAACAGCAACATCAGGGGAGCAGGGCACCGGCAGAGGAGGCGAGGCCCCGTGAGGGTGGCCCTGCCCCCAGGGAGCTGGTCAAACTTGGGCCAGCCATTTCCCCTCACTGGTACAGTTTCCTCGTCTGTAATGTGGAGACAGGTGTTCTGCTAACTTCAGGTGGTGTTGAGGAGAGGATGGCTTTGTGGAGAGCTGAATGGCACAGGGTTGGGTCATATGCTTATTGATATCATCTTTCTCACATGAAAGTCTGTGATTCTGTGGTTGACAGGGACCTGTTGGGGAAGGGAGCACCCAGAGATGGGAGAGCATGACTGCCGAGTCCTGGGAGTCTTGAGGTCTGGGAGGGGAGCTGAGTAGGGGAGATCCTAGCACTTTAGGCTCAGTGGACCCCGGGCAAGCCTGCCCCTGACCCCCCAGCTCCTCAGGCAGGTCCCTCTCCTGTGAAGGGAAGGGCCGTGGCCCAGGCTGCACCCCATGGTGAATGTAGCTGCCTGCAGCAGTTCCCTGGGGGTCCCTTTCCAACTTCCAAATCAGGATTTCAGGTCCTCAGTGGGCTGAGTTCCCAGTAGGCTGTAGGCTCCTGTCTCTCTCAGAGTGGTCGGAAGTCTTGAGGCCTGGCAGAGCTTCCAGAAGCTGGTTTTCAGGTACCCAGTTGATCCCCACAGATAATGGTCACCTCC